AGCAGTACATGCTGTGATGCAATATGTAGAAGAAACAAAGTATTCCAAGTATGTAAGTATGTTAATGCTAAAAGACTTTGAAGATTTATTGATAAGTTTTCAGAATTTTTTCATTTATAGAAAAGACATTAGAAAAAACGTAAAATATTTCGCTCTCTACATTGTTATACATGTACTATATGTACATGTGCCGAGATGGTGTTGATTATGTACCAACCTTAACTTAACGTGCACTAAATAAGTTGTGTGGATAGGAAATTGTATACACAATGATGTAACATTTCTGCCAGACCTTAAGTTACAAAGGGGAAAAGATAAGTTTACTTTTTTTGTGAATGGAAATTTTACCCCTGTACGTTCAACTCACTTTACCAAACGTTTAGGTTCAACGAATCTTAGTTTATTGGAAATATTAGAAATCATCAAAATATATGAAAATCACAAAATTAATCTAATTACGGGACTAATCCTCATCATGACTTTAAGAATATATATCAATATTAAGAATACCATATTACATTACATCGTATCGTTAATATGCTTAAATGGCCGTTAATATCAAAGATCGCCTAAACAGATAAAATAATTTACACTTGATATAAATATCTATTATAAGCTAAACATAAAATTTCAAACATTGACGAACGATGGACATACCATAATAATAATTTTCTTGTCTATAAATTCATAAGTAAAGTATTTTAACGTATTAGTGGACATTTGATACGGTGAACAAAATGTACTGGTATTTTGTATCAATCAAATATTTTGAATACCATGTAAATAATTTCAAAATGTGAAACTAAAAAACAAGCGAGAAACGAAAATATCAGTACCCGTGACAATATGTTCATCACAATAGTTTTGATAATATTCTTCGAAAGCAGGGGGAAATTCTGATTAAATTTGCAAAATAACAAATTAATGCCTTACTCATTCAAATAAATTGTACTATAGGTACAGCCTTAACGAAAGGTAATGGAAACAGCAAACACATATCAAGTAAATGCAGCATTACAAATAAACCGCCATTTAAACCGATTTGTGTACGTGATTTTATAATATAGCTTTAATATATAATGCCAATCTCTCCCAGAGTGCATCGCGGCACTCCAAAAACACATCTGTAAACAGCTTACGCCTTTTCAAGATAAATTTTCAGTAAACAGTCACCAGTCGTCGATTTTACATTTCGTACTTTCACTTCTCAACTACCGACGTGTTCTTGAGATACATATTGATATACTGTTATATCAGTGATAACTGATGGTAATTTGACTACAGTATCGGTACATAGCACCCCAAAAAGATCAAATGTTGTTTTTACGCTGATCTATGGCATACAAAAGAGCTGTTTATTCCTTTTGGTGTTGTTAGGATTGCAGCCATATTTTTACGTCAACGACCGCAAGGTCAGCCATTGGCTGTCTGGGAGCGGTTAAGAGAAGTATATTGTGACTGTCAAGAAACGACAACTCTGGTAGAGATTGACAAAATGCGTGTAAAATGAAGTCCGCAAACTGTCACCTGAGAGTAAACCTAATATATTTTACGGAAGAACGTCCAATAGCTTGTACAGACTGAGAGGATGTTCCTTTCTGAGCAAGTATCGTTTCCCTTTTCCATAAGAGAATTTTGAGTATGTCATATAAGAGTGTCAAACGATTTTTTCTTTACCAGCTTTATCATTGATATCGGTCATGTATTTCTTACGGGCAGATATTTATTTCAATACTTAAATGAAACTATATTCTTAATTTATCAACAAAGTGTCTCATAATATAACATTTGTTTTGATAACTTTAGTAGAAGTTGTATATCATTTTTATACATGTTCTTTGAGTTTTAACGAGATTTTTCATTTGAATTTGATATTTCACATTTCATCATTAATGAAAATATGTCTTATATCTCTGTTTATTACAAATGTATTTAAAAGGATTTATATTGTCACTATATGACAGTATCAATGTCCCTGTCCAGCTTATGCCTAACTCACTGCTTACCGCTAACAATAGAACTTTCGTCAGCAGAAAGTGATCATTAGCTTACCACTATCTTACCTTATAATGAAGACAACAGGAACAGCGTTAATAATAATTAATATCCGTGAAGATTATGATTTTCGTGAAGTGAATATTCTTTATCGAAATATTCATTCTTCCCCTACCATTGCCCATATTTCATAGTCGAACCTGTTTTTACGTTCTCATGCTGATTTGTACGACTGAAACATTAGGATCAAAGTTTGTATTGAAGAGCATCATATTACATTTACAGACAATTGCCTCTAAATTCCTTATATCTTTGATCTACTATGCTCTATTCAATCTGTAATTGTCTTTTGCTAATGCAAACTTTATCCATTTTGGCACTTTCATTTGTGCTCCTTTCAGTCCATTATTTCATTACGACGAAGCCAAGTCCACTTACTTACTTAAGTTATCTCATCCATCTTTGATTTCGACAGTCTTATGCCCACTCCCTTATCTAATCGATCTTGTTCTTTCTGTTTTCGGTGGTCTCATGCTTACTTCCATACTTCGATGATCTCAAGCTCATTAATTCAACACGTTCCCTATCCCTTTATATTGTTGTCGACACACCAACTGGCTGTTTGGGAGATATAAAAAATAGCACCCAAGAAGCATAGTGCGAAATAGCAAAATAATCTCGAAACATATCAATGTAAAACAACAGCAAGGGTTTACAAAGACTACATATTATCAGGATATTTATTTACAGCGCTCTATTATTATAAATTCAAAATTAGCAGCATAGGAAAACCAACTATCAAGTTGTTGTACAATGGACATGACAATTACTGTCTTTGTTTTCAATGTTTTGTGCTGACGTGAAGTAATGCTTTGAAGATGCTTTTTGATTTCACATTGATTTAGAAGAGGTATTGCTATTTGTTTTTCACCTTTTGACTGTTGCTTTAAATTATCATTTACGTTCTGACTAATCGATTTGTGTTTCAGTGAGCTTATCACAATAACATTAATATCTGTAGTTTTTTTTCTTCGTGAATTTTGATACCACTTTGATGCAACTTTCGGAACAATAATTGCCATTTATAAGTTTTCATGTGTTTTTATTATTCATTGATGATCTCCCTGAGATTCGATCACTTTTTTCCATACTAATTTAAAACTTGGTATGTCTGAAAAAGTCCTTCCGTATTTGGTGATAGTTTTCCATGTAAGTGTTATTACATTGTTTATGCATTCGAATATGATAAAAACGTATCTCCATTGCCATGGGAATGACGTGTGTTGTTCTGCCTTGGAGTAATAATCTTATTTTAGTTTCTATGGCCCTGCTATTCATTCTCGATCAAGTGTATGATTTCCCCTGTTTTCGACGCTGTGGTTTCTATACCAAATAAAAAAGAGAAACGCACAAAGTTTCCCCAATGCAGTACATCTAATCTGTAAGGAAATAATAGAATATATGTCCTGTTCTGGTAATTATTTATATAATTTCCTTTGATCAGATACTGTGTCCAGATCACTTCTATGACATTTTAGTGGCAGTGATTATCATCCATTGATACCCGCTTCATATTACCTAAGCAGACAAATACCTCATGGTGTTTGTATCACTATTAACATTAATCATCTGTATGATATTTAAACCCTCAAAATACGACACACCATAACAAAATGTAAAGTATGATTTTAATATTCGTATAAAAGATACAATAATACATGTTCAATATGTTATCAAAACATTTAAAGGAGTTGGAGAAACATTTGTCAGAAAACATAACTAGATGATACAATGAGACAACTGTAATCCATGACACCGTGCAATGTAAAAATGTACAAAAGACACAAACGTGAATAACACATTTCAATTCAAATACAGAATCAGATACAAGTCATAAACCAATTAAATAAAGAACATATTTACATATTCAATATTTGCCTTATGTTCCTATTAATTTTCATCCCATAAAATCTCTGATATGTACTAGCTCTGTCATATCTTTAGAAAACACAGATACATTGTGATATCGAAGGAACTTTAATATTGTGTTTTAAGAGTGAAAAAGTGTATAGCTTCAGCATGTATAGCTATTAAACATTCTTTATACCAAGTACTGTATTTCTTCTCTTGGTGATTTTGTTTTTATTTGCTCCATCTATCTTAACAGTATGAAATTGGTTGAATTATGTGGCACCTGCGACTTTTCATTCAGATATTGACATTTCGTTCAATATTTTTTTTATTTTATTCACTGAGAAGTCCAAAGAGGACATCTGTATAATGCATTTTTTGTTTCTAGTGTATCTAATTCCAAATTTGTATAGAAAGGTATTAATCATCTGTGTCTCTTTTGTAGTCATAATGATAATGAATATCACAAAAAAGGACTTATTTTCGGGGAGCTTGGCTAATTTGGAACAAAGGAAAAACCGTGGAAAATTACACACTTTTTTTTAAAAATCAAAACAATCATATTTAACGTAGCTATGTTGAGAACAAATGCTGCCATCTTTTCCACGACGGAAAGATCAGAAAATTCCTAGTCTAACTTAGAGTCTTTAGCTCTAAAACATCCCAAACAAATGTCCAGAACAAGCAAGCGACTATTTCCAGTATGCAGACTGGCATCAAAACTGGTCTCTATTCAATAAGCTGTAACAAATTGTCTTTTTCAAACGATATATTCAAATGTATGTAAATACAGATATATAATACATCCATATCGTGCTGGTGTTCAAAGACTGGTGTTTAACATGAAACATTGCATTATCTGAGTAAATATACTTATAAAGAATGCTACGATCGAGAATGTTATACTTTGTATAGGTTTATCATAAAAGATTAGATTCTCCTGTTCGTGTATGATGAACTGCAGGAACCAATACTTTAAACTTACTTTAATTGTCCGTGTTCATGGTTTGTCCATGAAAGCATAAACATGTATTGCTGACAGTTTATTTAGACATTTTCTCATCGAAATACAAACTATACATATTTTCCTTCGATTATGCAATTATTCATTAGACCCCTCCAGATGGATCTCCTTACATTGAGATCATTATGGGGCAGGTGACGGGTCATCATCCTTCCTCTGGCTCGTACGGACTCGGTACAACTTCCAACCAGCATTGCATAAATCTTGTGACTGGTTCTGTCAATATAAATGCTGTCCATGAGCTGATATTTAAAAATGAAATCTTCTCTACCAGGTGATGTCTAGTATTATGCTTTATAAAATGATAGTCGATCTGTTTAATGTGTTTTTATGTTTGCACCTTTGCAAACTTAATAATAAATGTGTACGTTATTTATCTAAATAAAGTCTGTGCTAGAATTGGAAAGGGCGCAGACAGGTAAAATATCGGATATCTGGTCGGGATATGCTAACGTGTATTTTTGTCATGACCACAATGTAATATGTATAACCAACATTATGCAAGGTGCGGAAAAATGATAAGAGAAAGAATATTTTTCTGCTGTCTTCTCCAATTTCTGATCTCCTAAATGCAAGCATGTTGGTGACTTAATCATAATTGCCTTTAGATATTTTCTCATTATCAATTGTCTTCAATAACCGCCATTTACTATATTACCCTGCTTATATAACTCTTTGGGAAGCAACAGAAATGTTATTGAAAACTTCATTAAAAAAAGAGAAAGCAAAATAACTACACATTTAAATACATAACCGGAGGACTTGTTTCTTCTAACTCTGGTTTTATTAATTTCAACTTCAATAATCAGAGACAAAGCAATGTTGTCATAAGTGGAGGATATAGACTTAATTTGTTGGGGGTATACTAAAGCGTACTTACCAAAACATCCATGATCTATATGGAAGTGTACGAAGGGGATGTAAAACACCAGACCTCCAATTATGAATATGAAAGCGTAGAGAAACTCGACGGCAGGATCCTGGATGATCGGAGCTATTACTAGGTATATGGAACAGGCCATGAAAATCAGCGGGAACAAAATGAAGACCTGGTGGAAAATAAGTAATTACATGTAACAAGGCGTTGAATGTTTGTCGTAAAGCCAACATATTTTTCAAAGATGTTATGGAATGTAAATCTAAACTTGTTTCAGACCATGCTCTTTTTTTTCTGTTTTTTTTTTTTTTTTTTTTTTTGTTTGTTTTGTTTTTGTTTTTACAACTATTTAATTTTAGAATCTTCATTTAAATAAAGAAATAAAATTTTATTGTCGCATTGACTCTCTTTGGTAAGTAAGGATATTTACAGAATGCCACCGTTTACATTGTTTCGTCGAATTAGTCATGTCCTGAAAAAAATGATATAACATACCTTAATTGGTCGATGTGCGTTCTTCATGGTAAATCTTAGGACGAATAATGATAAGATAGTTAAAGCGTAAAAAAGCCAGGCGGCAAAACTGAAGAAGTTTATCAAATTGCCAATATCGCCAGGTATCAACATCAGCAAGGAAAGTATCGTCTGAAATATAGAGAGGCAATAGTAAAATTTAATTTTACAAGTTTTCTAATAAATTGGAAGGCCTGAACAAGTTTTATAATACTACGGATATGGAATTAGCTGTATTAATGAAATGATTATTACAATTAACCTATGGAAAATAACAACAACAAATCTATAAAGTGTTTGAAGTGTAAACCAAATGAAAATATGAAAATTACATTTTACACTTACTTTTAAGATCTGTATATTATTGTACATTTCTTAAAGAAAAAAAATAAAATAAGATTTGTAATTCACACTAAAATTAAGTTATTTCAGGCGGCACTATCATACATATGTACAATAATTTGGTTTACGTATTTGTTGATAACGGGAATTACCTGATTTGAATGATGGACATGTTTAGAGAATGATATCGACTGGAAAGCCGATTATTCAATTAATCACTCTTTCTTACCGTAAATATGATGCATGGTATTGGAGTATACCGCTTACAGCTGACATATGACAACACTTCAGGGAACTGATGTTCTCTAGCTGCCGCATACAGTGTCCTAGGAAAACGTTATAGTATGTTAAATTAAAGTTTCGTTTAAATTATATCTTTGATTGTGTCTCAAGTTGAAATTCGTAACTCTGGACAAATAAGTTGAATCCTTTCTTTGTGTTTTGTTCGCCTTTATATATACTGCCATATTTTGGTGTATAATTGCAATACATTTCGCAAATGCAACGGCGGTATGTCAAATTTGTTTAATGAAGTCCTTCAATTTATTATCCAGAGGTGCTAGCTAAGTTGGCAGCAATTCTTTCACTGGAAGAAAGATAACTCTTCCTTCACGTATGCTTAATTAGTGTAGATTTAAATATACATTCTGGTACTTCGTGTGCTGTTTATCCATTGTACTCCATGTTATCAAATAAATACTCTATGGAGGACAGTACAGTTGCATTTATACGTTTGCACAATTTATACGTGTTATGAATTTATACTTATATATGATGTTTATATATGACTTTCAGAAATCATTCAATATATCAAATTACCAAAAACACATAATACATTTTTGAAAGCTAATTATTTGACAAACGTGTTGGAAAAATGCATGTTTAGACATTTGAATCTCTTACCAAATATATGAAAATGTAATATATATAATAATAATAGATTTTTAAATAGTTTAGATGAATAAGCGTTTAAATTTTAAGTTTTATAAATAGCCTAAAGTAAGCGTTTTCAACTGATTTGCAATACCATGTACCTAACTCCCGCAAACAGTGCACCATTGGCTGCTCCAAATGTAGAAAACAACACAAAAATTGGCATAATGATTCCAGCTGATCCCATAACCTTCTCTCCCCATGTCTGTAAAACAACACATGACAACAACATTATCAGTAATGCTCAATGCCAAAATACAATCAAATAAGTCAATACATTAACATTTAAGGTCTCTAACAAATACCTGAGAAGTTGTACAAGGACAAACAATTGTATGGTATATTCGTATACACAATTTGGCTTTGGTCTATCTAGTTTCCTAAATTTGCATTACAATTCAGTATATGTTTTGTGCTGCTTTTAACTGTTTGATATGCAAATTACCGATGCATCACCAGTCGTAATCCCACAAAAAGTGTCAACAAATTTTATATAGAAGATCATATCATAGATGGGCGTATTAGGTATACAATTATATTTCATGATTTCGTTCTCTACCTACCCCTGATTTTCAGAATTACTCTTTAAAATCAATGACTTACGACGACCACTGCACTTGACTCCAATAGTCCATCAGTCCCTAGCACGGTTAAGTAAGATATGTTGGCGAGAAGGTAGACGATGGTCACAAGAACAACACCCAAAATGTTCGCTCTTGGTAGGTTTCTACAATCATAAATACGCATTTCTGAAAACAAATTGTCAACAAGTTAACCTGATTCTTGAAAAGAAACTAAAAGAAAAAAACAAATTAACAGCTAAGAAAATTGCGCCAATTATTATTTGATTGGTTCTTTAAACGTTCTTTCATCCCCCCCCCCCACCCCCCGCCGTTAAAATCCAAAATTGCCGAGTGACAGCCATTAATTTTTTCTCATCATTTCAAAATAAAATTGGCAACTAGATAAGCCCAGTCCTTCTCAAGAAATAGCATTAACAAGAATTGTTTACAGGTGTAATACCATACCAGATGACGGGAGAATAAGAAGGCTAAGTCACAATATCACTTGAATACAGTATCATATTGTTTTGCATTCAAGCTGAATGGTCACGCACTAAACCAAATCTCTAATTATCTCCTAATCATGCATGAACCGTTCTGATCTCACTCTTATAGTAATTTCTATCTTTTAATGAACACCAATTAAGTAGCATAGATTTATTGGAAAATGAACACCGCTTTAGCAACAGAATTTGCTATAACTCAAGTTACATATTTGAAATATCATTCCGTACTTACACATATGGATTCTTTAGTTCTTCTGTCACGTAATTAAGGGTGTTCCTGAAAATATTGATGTAAATCTCAAAATACAACAATTATGTTTTAAGGAACTCATTATTTGTTTTATTGTAGTTACGCAATAGGGTTCTCAATGTTAAATGCTACAGTTGTGGGATCACACAACGTTACACGATGTGCGCACTACAGGACAATTGGACGAAATAAACTATCGCACATCTGTGCGCATGTTGTGTGATTCGCTCGCGGTTGGTATACAATCTAGAAATGCCTTATAAATAAATGTGTGATAGGGTTTATCTATTTTCTAAATATATAAGATTATTGCTAAATGTATTTCCTTACTTAGCCATTAATAGACAGACTGGACACTTGTAGATATATCAGATACCCAGTGAATAGTTCGATACACTCGTAGATATATCAGATACCCACTGAATAGTTCGATACACTCGTAGATATATCAGATACCCACTGAATAGTTCGATACACTCGTAGATATATCAGATACCCACTGAATAGTTCGATACACTCGTAGATATATCAGATACCCACTGAATAGTTATATCAGATACCCACTGATACACTCGTAGATATATCAGATACCCACTGAATAGTTCGATACACTCGTAGATATATCAGATACCCACTGAATAGTTCGATACACTCGTAGATATATCAGACACCCACTGAATAGTTCGATACACTCGTAGATATATCAGATACCCACTGAATAGTTCGATACACTCGTAGATATATCAGATACCCACTGAATAGTTCGATACACTCGTAGATATATCAGATACCCACTGAATAGTTCGATACACTCGTAGATATATCAGATACCCACTGAATAGTTCGATACACTCGTAGATATATCAGACACCCACTGAATAGTTCGATACACTCGTAGATATATCAGACACCCACTGAATAGTTCGATACACTCGTAGATATATCAGATACCCACTGAATAGTTCGATACACTCGTAGATATATCAGATACCCACTGAATAGTTCGATACACTCGTAGATATATCAGATACCCACTGAATAGTTCGATACACTCGTAGATATATCAGATACCCACTGAATAGTTCGGTACATTCGTAATCTTAATTTTTGTTTAGAAAGAGCAACACGTGACCAGCAGTAGTGTATGGACTCACATTATTCATATAATTAATATGTAAAAAATAAACGGATGTCTCTTTATGTCACAGCAATGAATCATTTAATTTCCCATACCATCGGAAAGAAAATTTTATTTTCATTGCTTCTGTATCATTCTAATTTTTCTTTTATTTTGTAAACAAAAACATATACTCGTAAATCGTAAGTGCCGTGCTTGTTACATGGTCGACCCAGCTGGCACGGATCCGGGCCTGTCACGTATATACCCGTATACAGGTAAACCCAGCTGGTACGGATCCGGGCCTGTCACGTATATACCCGTATACAGGTTAACTTTTGTTGCCCGATGCACAACTACTTTATGAGGTGTGAAAGCATATACGACAAGATTTATTAATGCATGTCCAGTGTTATTTCGAAAACTGTCGAACTAAAAATGCCGTTTAAAATCATTTGATCGCTATTCAGTAACAACGTTTTTCCGTGTTATTTTCGTTCCGTAATAATATCCAACCCTTTTTACCAAACCGCACAAAATGTGCCATCCTATCGCACAGTTATGTACACGATACTGTATTGTGTGTGTGTGTGTGTGTGCGTACGATGTTCGCACAAAGTTTTTAGTGCGTTGTGTATTACCACAACTGTATGACTAGTAAAAATCTATTTTATTTTCTGTCGAATATGTACATCTGCTATGGTGTTTTTTAGACATAAATCTTCACGTGCCTTTACAATGACGTCAAGCATCAAACAAATGTACATTGTAAAATTACTTCTTCAAAATTTTGCATTGGTGATTTCGTAACCCTATCTTCTGTTTTTTGTTTGTTTGTTTTTGTTTCACTTTAAGGTTACAGAAAAATCTTACCATCCGTCGTAGGCCCATAGAGCATCGTAAAATGCAAGTGCAATAGATGACGCCGAACCCGTAGTACCAGCAAATCCTGACCGCATGGTAGCAGTCTCACCTTTACAAAACCAAACAAAAAAAATAACCAGCCGGTGTCATTAGTCAATAGACTATTATTAAAACTTTTTTTCTATTAAAAAGTCTGCATTATGAATATTGTTCTATAAATTGATTTTATCATGCTCTGTTAGTCCTAACTTTTAGTAAAACCGTTTACCTCTTCCAAGCCACACGAAGCCGCCGATAATGATGATGACGAGGGCAATGAGTTTAGCGGCGGTGAAGAATACCTGTACGTTGGCAGCAAGCTTTGTGTCCCAGCAGTTAATCATGGCCAATGTAACTGGCAAGTAAAACAAGAGAGTCAATATAACTTCATTAGGACAAAAGACTGTTACATAACGTTGTAGGACATGAACGTGTGGCTGAAATGTAAGTGACATTGTGAAATATTGCAACGTACGTTCAGTTTTAATTACTGAATTATTATTTGACTAAAGCACATGATGAGTATAAATACCTATTGCCAAAGCTGCAATGAGCTTGACGGGTGTTTGAGGAGCTCCACAGTAATCGAAGAAAGTGGTGGTATACTCTGCAAAGGTAAGTGTGATGATCGCGACTGCAGAAGGAGTTATCACTATGATTTTAGTCCAGGCGAACAGGAAAGCGAGGACCTTGCCTAGTCCAGCCCATATGTATGGGTACTCTCCTCCAGACTTGGTTATCAGACATCCAACTTCGGCGTACGACAATGAACCTATCATGACAAAGTTCAGTAGCAGCGTTGGAGAAGTGAAGAAAATGTACATAAAGTAAGGTGACATTGAAAAAGATTTTAGAATAGATATCAGAATGTAAAAGCCTCTGCTTCGTCCATCAATATGAAATATTGCCCAAACTGTTTATTCAGTTTTGTTTGCTGAATAACGTTGAATAAAAGGAACCGCTCTAATTTTCACCACCAGGCGTTTCATTGGTTATATTGTGTAATCTATTGGCATACCAGATTAATGTACAGTTGTGGTAACGCACAACGCACCTAAACCTTCGTTCGAAGATCGCGTATCCGATATTCAGTGTGTATGTGATATATCTACAATTGTCAAACCTATATATTAACGACTTAATTAGGAAATATACTTAGTTGTATTCTTATTTGTTTAGAAAATAAATAAACCCTATCCCACACTTACGTATAAGTCATTTCTAGATTTATATCAACCACGATAGAATCGCAGATTTTGTGCGATAGTATTGCTTAACGAGCGCACAAATGTGCGAAAGCTTATTTCGTTCAATTTTCCTATTGTGTAACGTTGTGCAATCCCACTACTGTACATAAACGAGGTTTAACAAATATACACAGCGGCATTATCATACGTATCAAAACTATACATAAAACATCAGTGCAGTAAATCTAGTGCCAAGAAAAAAATCCCAGCCAGAGAAAAACGAAATCAAGTACGATATCTAGTGTAATAAAACATAATGTTTTGTTTCTTCTAAAAATAATAGTAAGTTCATCTAAGGTTTTTGAGGTAATGTTTACCGAGAAGGGAGAGAACTCCTGCTGATACCCATACAATTAGACTGAGCCCTACTGATCCGGTCTCGGTCAACACTCCTTTCGGGGATATGAATATTCCAGAACCTGCATAAGAAAAAAAGTATTATCAACACATTTTTAAACAACGCTGTCGCGGTTGTGTCCTCGGCACGGCCAAGACACTTAAACCTTAGAGGTTTGGATGGAATGCAACGGGTCTTATGCATGTTGTTCTGTGACGTTGCCACCAACTACTACAAGAAGACCTTTTCTCAAGATGGTCTTGGTTGTTGACGGTTCGATAAATCTATCAAACACACAAAAAACATCTTTATACAATGCTTTCATTGAAGCATGTCATCACATTGCATTCAACGAGCGATCTACTAGTGATCATCGGTGGTTGTATCGCTGAAACGAACGTAACAAAATTCTTAATCCAGTAAAAGTTTGTTTAAATTATCAAAATGTGTTAAACGACGATTACGCAAGTGCATGTTGAAAAAGAGAAAGTATTGACCTAGACGCAATCAGTGATAAGTTTTCACCTTCGTATTATATCTAATTAAAGCGTAGAAAAAGTTGTTTGGCCAAATTAATGGTTCTCAATTCACTTTTTCTATTTTGAATAAATGCACGCTGGTTATTATTTTTTCATCTGATTAATGAAGCAACTATAAAAATATACACCTACCCGAATATTGAAACCATGTTGACAAACTTACCGATCACAGAGCCCACGATGAATGATATTCCGCTGATGAGTTCGACATTTTTCTTCATCTTGACCTTTTCCCTCCTCCCTTTGGCCATACTGCCATTTTCGACTGCCTTTCTCTGTCGAGGGCCCCCATCGTCATCTTAAAAAAAGAATGTTTCAGGTAGTTAGGCCTTTAGCAACACTAACCTAGAAGGGCGTTACTGTTAATTTCACATACTGTGTCTAATTCTAATTTGATTGGTGCTCATCACTTGTGTGTCTTTTGTATAGAAGCGCAACTTAATATGACCAACCCATGTGACATTATCCTGTGTTGAAATCAAAATTCACGTCACTACCAGCCACGTGGCTATGTTATCAAATAGCTCAATCAGATTGGATTTACTATTTTCGTATATTCTCCACTGTACAGAGCTCGTTAAAATCGAAACAGATCAGGACCGCGATCTTCGTCATAATATTAGTGATTAGTGAATCTAGTCAGTGAACATTTGAGTTTGGTTAGCACGTTGGGTTTACATCGTTTACAAAGGAAATAAGCATGAGATGAAACGTCTGTAATGATTCGGAGGTATTCAACATGGTAAATTAATTTAAAAACAATTTGAAAATCAAACAGTTGTTTCACTAGTTTACCGTTTTATATAACGAACCTAGTCTTCATAATTGATTGAAAAAATCACAATCAAAACAGTCAATTCTACAAGCAACGGCATATGGAAAAGTTTCAATGGATGCACCAGTAATATCGTAAAGTACTGAACAAATACAAATTTGAGAAGAACGAGAGACAGAGATTGGACTTTTTCCCGAGAAAATTCCCACACGCATCTTGTAAAGAAATATCTCTCAGAAAATTATAGAAATGCGAGTGGTTTAAAATATAGATCTTGTCGTGATCTTTGCAATGTCTGCTTTTGTGTTTGGGTGCCATTTGTCACCAGGCGACACACCAAACTTAATGGATAACCCGGGCTTGACTTGGGTATCCCATACTAAAAAAAACATAAGGTTTGGTTTGTCACCCCAGGCAGTGTTTTCACGTGTGTAACTGGTAAATCATGTCCGTATTCATACTGTATGTTAAAATTGCATTTAGGAGAGTGACAAATGCTGAAAGATAGCAAATATTTTACATGATTCAGGGTGTTATGACAAGCAGGCAACTAGCTACACGTTTTAATAACAGTCATTCTGGTATTTCGCGGTGAATGCAGCATTTGAACCAAACCCGGTGTGTTGACGAATGTCTACAAATAGAGAAGATAAACCTCTCAGTAGATAAGCATAGCGAGTCCAATTCACGACTGCAGACAGGCTCTGACGACCGTGGAATGTCAACGTTCGCGTTAGTGTTAGTCTACTGGTCTGACGAAAGCAGCCTTTTACTGTCCGACAGACAGTACGGTCCGTGTTTGGAGACCAGGAAATATGCTGTACAACCAGAATCATATTAACATTCTAACAGTATTTACTGGAATTGACAAAAATTTACATTTACACCTGGTCTTATTCTATATATACTTGTTCATGAGCCTCCGTGTTAATCTTTCTTTCGTTCATTTTGGCTCAGTTTGGATTATTATGATGTTGGAATCTTGTTATTTTTTCATATTTTGGCAAGGAGTGATGGCGATGCTCCGATTGTCTGCACAAGACATGAACCCAATTGAGCAAGTATGGGACTATCTCAGACCAGGAGCCAATGCAAGGGATCCAGAACAAGTTTCGCATCTTTTTCTTTTGGTCAATATTTACCAGTTCTCAGAAGCTGGTGGCCATATCAAATATCAGCATTTTTATACCCAATAAAACTTGATTAGTTAATCTTCTTGGTCATGTTACATGTTTTGGTAATTTTATTACCTATTTGTTGATAGGAAATACCGAAATTCAATTTTTTTTTCTAGACCTTGGGAGTGCCTTTTGTGCATGTCTTTTCATGATAATACAGCATTGTTGCCTGTTGGCTGTTTATAGTTTCGTTAGTTTCCTAAACATATCCTACATATCCTGTGATGTTGTCAAGATTTTTTTTATTGATAATCGAAAGCTCTTCTAACTGCTATTTTTTTTTAAACCTAAGCCAATTCGAGACTTCAAACCTACGACAGGTATTCCTATATATGTGACTTATAACTAATTACAAAACGGTGCAATAATTTTATACATTTAAAACCGGACACTTCACTTCAAAACTGGTGCCTTGCCTTGCATTGAAAACAATGGCTTTATCACTTCAAAACTATGGAAAATTACCCTGCACATAAACAAAGAATGCATCACTTCAAAATCATGTGACTGAATTATCAACAAACAACACGTCAAAAGTATGTAACATTATTCCGTATTAACATAAACGGATACGTCGCTACCAAACAAAGGAAACGTCTATGTCACATCGAGCATTCCCAAGTATATTAACGTTCAAAATGAATATTTGAAGCTACAATAATAACTGTAATTAAATAAATCTTTCCACAAGAAGGTCAAGTGTACATGTTGTTAGACGTCTTTCAGATGTAACCGAATTCATTTCAAAGTGATTTTTATGCATGACCTCGCCATACTCTCGGTGTTTAGAATAGAACATGTTATTAATGAATGTCGGGTTAACATCTGACTTAAATCAAAGCAAACTGCAGATTGTTTCTTCACAAAAAGACTTTATTTGCTATTAATGTTTGCTTCATATGTAAGTTTTATATCCCGAGAAGCCATTGAGGTTATGTTTGCACTGTGTTGAAAATTTTAATCGGCTCCTCTGCTAAAGAGATTCAGGTAATGATATTTGATACAAAAATGAATTGTTTACTTTTATCAAACAATACCACTCAGGATATCCCTAGTTGATAGTCGTTGTTTGAAGTCAAGCGACTTTATACAGCTGTACGTCCTTTTGAAAGTCCTCGGCGATTCTAAGGGCCTTGCGTTGTAAGCTTAGAAGGCGACTGAGGAAAATCTAAGTGATCGGGAGAGAAAATTATTTTATCTTATTCTGCATTTGTATTGAATGCGTGTCCCTTGTAAATTCATCGAATTATTTCTTGATTAATAGATACCATAAAAACACATTCATATTATCCTTTTATCATTATTTAAGGAAACATGACATCATTCTTATTAGACCAGTTGTTTTGGAATGTCTGGACTATGTGTTGTAGCATTGACTTTTCTACATACCTGACTATTTTTTCGAGCTAGTAACACTTTGTATATGTGACACTAACTGAGTCTTAGCCGTCTGTCAGATTATTATGTATGTACCGCCCGGGGGCGTATTCATAATGACACATGTATAGGATGTGTATGCGTGTGTCAGTATATATATACTCCAGTAAACCAGGTATATATGCCTGATGCCCCGCAACACGATTAGCATAAGAATAATAACAATGTAAGACGTTACTTTAATCAAAATATTACACTAGGGTTTAAATAATAATCAATGTCTAAAAATATGAAGAGAGAAAAATATATGAATGCTTTATTCTTGAATATAAGTTTTTGATACGAGTTGTTTATCTTAGGTGTGCAAACCCGGCAAGCAAATCTTGGATGACAATACATATTCAAACTAAGAAAGACTATCTATCTAAGTTAACAGTATTACGTTTGGTCGGTTCATTTGTTAATGGTTCAAATGTTTGTTCAATTGCAAAAGTTGTATTCAGTTCATCGATTAATATATTAGATATTGCAATGCTTTCATATGCGGTATAGATGTCCACTTTGAGCAGTCAATGTATGTAAAGCAGGCGAGGAGACGCTGGACATATAGCATACCCGAATGTTTTATACATGTAAGTAAGCTTTATTTAATAGCCTCATCAAACAAGCATGGTAAGTTATATCAAATTTGTCAAAAATCGAATATCAAACACGAACTTAAAGCACAAAAACAATTAAAAAATATTGTAGATGAACTTCGTTTCGAAATTATATCATATCTACAGCACTGACAATCATAGTTACAACACAGACAATCATAGTTACAACACTGACAATTATATTTACAGCACTGACAATCATAGTTACAACACAGCCAATCATAGTTACAACACTGAGAATTATATTTACAGAACTGATAATCATAGTTATTGTACTGACAATAACATGTACCGACTTATCGTGAAGCTAGTCATAAACACTTAAACGCACACGTTATATCTTGTTCAAGTTGGACTATTTAAGAAATCGAAATAAACAGGTGCAAGATATAACGATCAAAGCATTAACAAACTAGGTCATTGTACCTCACGTGAACCTGTTCTAAACTGATTTTATTCTATAAGTTTGTTCTGGTTGATATCAACTGATACATGAATTTACACTGTGCTTTATCGCACATATAAAGCAGTAGTTACATATTTAACAAACTTAATACAGTTATTCTTTTCCGGAACACAGTAAACTAGTGTGCCTGTCGTAAAGTATAAGCCAGGAAATACGACGAAACACTAGATTGTTTGTAGTGCAAGTACTAGGTTGGGTTTATTTTCCTATTATCAGGTATAACAAAATAACGAAACTTATTGAATTATGGGGCTAATGTATTTCCTCATTTTGATTTTGACATTTCGGTCATTATAGATGTTCCACAGACGTCTCCCAGGCTTCAAAATTTCAACCCTTAACATCATTGAAGATAATTAGAAGAACGCAATAATAGATGAACGTAGTGGTATAACAATAATCATTCGGCTCAACTGTGTTTCAACTGGTTGTACATTTGAATTTAATGGTACGGCGGCGTATGAGGGACATTAGGTAAATCCATTTATTTTCGGAGTAAAAATGTCTTGAACTTAAAAGATAATGTCTTGCAAGAACAAGCTACATCAACAAATGTAGTAAGAAGTATGTAGAAGATTATTTGTCTGCACGTTCAACATAGTAAATTATACTAGCAAGATAAATTATTCTTTTTGATGGCTCTCATGCGCCGCCGTAAAGAGATGTTATTCACTTATATGGCTTTTATATAATCTTCCAACGAAATGATATTTAAGGTTGATCATTCGTTAAAATAAGTTCATGCGGAAAGAGTGGAAAGGTTAGCGAATGGATTCTATCCTTCATCAATTCAAACATGTCAACAGGCAAACAGTTGTGAGAAAAAAATAGACATAATTCCAATTCATTTAATGACAATAATTCTAATATTGCAGGTTCTTAGCATCATTGAGGAGTCCCAAATTGACGAACAGCACATTAATCGATTAATCGGCTCTAACTGAACTCCAGAACTCTAACAATTCTACTTGTTGTTATTCAATAGTATCTTTTGTACGATTGAATCCTTTACATCAATCAAGGTAAGTTATGACTGTTCATTATACGTGTTCATCAATAAATATAGAGATTTACAGAGGTGTACAGGTCCACATTCGTGCTAAGGTGGTAACATTGTCCCTTCAATGTAACAGAACTCCGGGCTATTATGATACTAGCTGTTTCTATATAAATTTCTTTATAAATTCCATATATATTGTAATTTTGAACTGAATTAAACATTTTCAGTTGCCTCCCAACACGCTGGTTAATATGATTCAGAGTGATAAAGCCTTTTCATGAACACTTTACCGTAAAATGTGTTTTTTTAATGTATTTACCAGATTTGCTAACGGGCCTATGATCGCTGACCCTTCATACAAAGCAGAGTATTTTAACATCAAATTGAATCTGAATTTGATATTTCTTCAACTACCCTGTAAACATATGGCTTAATGCTCAATACATCGCGCAGGGATCGTGACATATTTTTCAATGATGATAGTGTGCTCCAGTTTCTGTAGATAGACTGTCATCTCATATTTATATCTTATACACCTACACAAATCTGCATCTAATGAATGATGCAGTAAATTCCATTCATGGGAATGCTTTCCTTGTTAATCGCAATATGAATGTAGCCTATAATGCAGTCATGTTAGAGACGCTAGCCGACCGTGACAGGAAATGTTGTTTACAAATTAACGAGGACTCTGGATACATCGACATTGGTATTCTATCCTTCGATTAATATTTGTTTATGAAGCTATCGTTTGTATAAGTTTAACACAGTAGGCAACGTATTCAATGAATATAATGCATGCGTGTGTATACTTTTGCACAACGCCCGGTAAAGGTCTAATAGGGCACACGTATACATAACATTTTAAAACACCGTCGGTAAAGACACTTACACAACGCTATGTCATAAGTGCTATTTTTATCATTTATAAAATCATAAACCCCGTATTGTATCTAATGTAAATGATAGACAGTGGGTGGAAAGGTCAAGGTTATTGTTTCTTATGTCTACATGTAAGGCCCGCCCATGCTACCTTCCCTGTAATATGTACCCGTGTCTGATTACCCATTGTAGAGGTAAAATAACCCCAAACTGTATTCCTTCTCCTTTGTAATACTTTGAATTACTTTATATCCCCGGTTTTACACAGGCATTATCCATTAAATGTGTCTACCATCTAGTATGTCTGTTTTTAGAACGGTGACCAGGTCGTTAACAGTAAGTCAGTGCAAGTTTCGAGGTCGTAACCACATATGTATTCATAGTCATTATACTACCTTAGTATTTGTAAAGCAGGCATAACGGACAAATAAATTTCAGGTTACAACTGTCTTTATAGTGACGTGACAGGAACAGTAAGTGTCCTCTAGAGCATCAACACCCGTGGTGGATATATAATATGTACAGTGTTATATATATTAGACTATTGTCAGTGAAATAGAGAGAAATATCTCATTGTTAAGATTGTTATTTTTACTAATGAAAACCCCACATTTTGTTATATTTCATGTAGTGAAAATAACACTTTTGCAAACTTATACCAATGAAAAGAGAGAACACCAATCATCTTATAAAACTGACAAATCATAAAGCCACAAAACCAGACATTTGAAGGGATTGTTTACTTGTGACTCAACCTTCAATTCCATGGTAAACGTTCATTTCCATGAAAGTCAGCAAAGTTACTTAATCAGAGATCATGTTCACATTTTAGTACCCAGAACAACAAATGACAACAGGATCGATATTTGTATAGGGAAATAAGTGAACACTTGCTTTACAAACTGTAGTCTATGTGCATAAACACGTAATAGTTGCCATACCTTACAATGAATGCCATGACCATAATTGATTGTTTATAGAAATGTCCTCTTCAACAGGTCATTCAGTTTGTATCTCTGGTATGTTCCTATTAATTAATATAGACATGACTGTTTACATTCTGTCTTATTAGACGGCATACACAGCTGTAATTAGCTTTCAGTGGGCAGGACTGTTAGAGCTACATAATGAAGTGTTGCATGCCTGCGGCACATGACACCAGGCCTGTTCACTTTGTAAAGTTTCAGACGTATATATATATATAACCTATATACTAACCTCATCTCTGATGTTCACCGATTAAGTTTTTAACACATTCCATTAGTTAAGGTTAGAGATTCACTATTCTCGTTAAGAAATTGTATGTCAGTGTTCTACATTGTAATATGTTAACTGATCAGCTCTAATTTGGAAAGATGTTTTAATATAAGATAAGTGCAAGACATTAGCTCTCTACTTTGACAAAATTCCAATTAATGTTAACCTTTACCAAATAAAATCTGACGTACATCTAAGTGACTATCTTTATCTTTATGAAGGCGACGGATAAGACTTGAATATTATCAGATTTTTTATACAAAACTGTCTTAATGTTTTCACAGTGAAACTGATAAAGACTTAATATAGGAGATACTTTTATAAACCAAACTCCTGATGGCCAGGGTCTTTCCTCCACCGAAATTAACTCGCGTTAGCGACTGTCAGATTTATATTTCTTAGTTTGGAAGCACAATAAAGTGTAGAATATTAACGTCCGTAATTTGATAGTATAGACGAACGTCAAGTTTAATGCTGTTGTGCTAATATGTAGCTGAGGACAAGCAGATTGATATCTTTTAAGCATAAGACGTCCACACGAAGCAACATAAAATGTATTTATGTTATTCGATTAAGATTAACTTTTACAAGGGCTATGGTTGGGAATACGTATGATATAAATATATGGAAGAAGAGCAATGTATCTAATTCGTCGTCACCTTCCGTGTACTTATATGACAAACCGGTTTTACTTAACAAATTGTATAGAAATGGCATATTTAGTTGTGTGCAGAGCCTGTTTGATCAATGAATATTTAAAATCCCAAGGAAAAGTACAAACATTTACGTCTTACAAAGCGGCAACTCTTTAAAGATTTCAACAACAATAACCTTACCTGGCTGGTAGCCCGTATTCTCCATATTTTATCCACTCGCAAGCTTGGTATATACTGTAGCTGTATTATTCCAGTATATGTTTGATATTATTTAACCACTTTCTTTAAAAACATCCAGTTTATATCATTGGCACAACTATTTATTTGACTAACGCTATCACACAAGTGTGAGTCTACAGCATAAACTGCCTTTACTAAATAAAGTTGTTCGAGAAACCACGCAAGCGTAACGAAGATATTCAGCGGTTGATGTTCTCACAGACGTTATACGTATCACTGCGAGTCTACCCCTTGAACACATCCCCTCCTGTCACATGCCACTAAGCGACAATTACTATAAATAAGGTCGGACTGGCTTTTATTGTGACGAACAACCTTAAGGCATACAGGACGGGGCACCCGGCCAGTCATTCTTGAGCAGTAAAACTTGTTTCTGGGTGTATGCGATATAACATCTCACATTTTATGAAGATAGATTACAAAATGTATCTCATATTTATTGTCAAACTCATTCTGATGTCAGGTTAAGTGACACAAGTAAGTGCAAAGATAAGTAGCTTAATATTTTATGGTGAGAATAAATGAAAATAATGTCAAAATCACTGACTTACTTAAAACTTACTAAAAAGGAACAGTTCAAGGAGACGAAATGGTGTCAATGTACAGACAAACTCGTAACACAGGATTTCAAATGATGCAGGCCGATGATTAGGATTACTTCCATTGTAAGAAAACGTTTTAAAGAAGGTATATTTTTCTCCTAATATTATGTTTAGGTTGGAATAATTCAGGATCATGGGGAGCGCTGGACCTTTTGATAAGTGGGACTGTAAAATGTTTACCATAAGTCCGCTGAAATCTTCAAAAATGTGAAATGATCACAGGTACACAGATATGTCTTTTTCAGTTTCTGAGAGGTGGATTTCAATGCGAGTTATACAGACGTGAATATCGTGTTATACCTTTTTAGTTAAAATGATATATATATATGTATCATATGTATAATAGTAATGACACTTGACTGCTGCTGTCAACCAAGAAATAGTTTCACGTGAAAATGGTTGTATTTCATAATATAATACTATAAAATCTCAACATGTCAGCCAGCAGTGAAACGTCCTCGAACACTCTTAACAGTGTGACGTCATCAGGATGAAAAAATAGCTGTCAACAATATATGTTTTATCTGAATTAACTCAAGAGCAACAGAATGGAACGAAACATTCACCAAAAAAGTGTAGGATGTTTAAAAAATACTTTCTAATATATCACAATTCTGATTGCTATACCTAAATTTGTTACACAAACTTTTAAACCTCAGACATCAGTAAGTTACCACTGGTATACTCATAATTTGATGAGATACTTGGTTGCGGACCAATAATGACAGGGTGCAATTTTTTAGCACGCAATACAGCAAAAACTGCAGATCGACCGCTCACCGTCCGCACACACGCTCTATATTAGATAATAGATTTTGAAATACCACCGAACCCTTAGTTTATTTAGTCTTTCTAACGTATAGATTTACACCTCCGAGACTAGCGAGTGATGTGCCTTGGACAACATCAATACTTTGTATACGGGTTGTTTATTTATTTATTATCTATCTAACAGTTTTTACGTCCGCTATTTCAACCTTTCAGCGAACGACAAATCATAGAAAAATGGGTAGAGAGGGAAAAGTGTGAAGTGATGGGAGAGAGTGGGATACAGAGAGAGGGTAGAGAGTGGCCGTTTTACCACCTGACCTGTTCTTAAACTATACTATACCTTTGAAGACGACCCCTTGACCTAGTTATAACTAAAGGTAAAGGACTGAGCGAAACTGGAAAGGGATCATGCATTAAATCAATTTCGGAATGTTAATAGTATTTCGAAGTCCGTCAAAATTACTTGATAAATTGTCACTATTGCTACCCTAACCTCTGAACCGGCGTTATCACGACTCCAGAGGGATTCTTATCGTGCAAGTCTGACATTCTCACACGGGCAACCATTTTAAGTCCCATCCGACGGACTTTGTATTAGCGGTAAATTGTTAGTATGGTGCTGGTGTTGATATGTTTTTGGTGTATACAGGAACATATATGACAGGTCCGTACCGGCTAGGTCTGCCGTCTAATCAAACATAATTCTTAGAATTCTTTGTTTGCATAAGAGAAAAATCAGAGTAACACAGAAGTAATGAAAAGGACATTTCTTTTCTAACAAATGTATATATAATGAGTGTCGGTACACTAAGACTGGTTATGTGTGTAAGCAGAACACTCTTAAATACGATTGTATATAAGTATTCAGTATGTACCTGACAGATCTATATGTTTTTAAACTCTAGATATTGGCTTAATAAGGAAGTTTACTTTAACCGTACTCTTATATTTAAACATTAATAAATTTACCCTATCCCATACTTATTAATAAGTCATTTTGAAATCAATCAAGACAGAATCACACTCCATGTGTTCACAGATGTAGAATAGCTAACTTGGTCCAGTTTTTTCTATCGTGCACACTTAGTGCTTACACCATGCGCACATCGTTTAACGTTGTGTGATCGCACACCTGTCCTTAGATGTCTTATAAGCTAGATATGGTATACATGATTCTGTCCTGTCGTAATAATTCTAGTCACTCATGGAAGATGTTGATACTGATGCCCTTGAGTGAGACAAGTCACCTCTATTGCTTATCCTAGCTACCTGCCTACGACGAGGTAAAATATAGAATTTCTTATTGGTTTTGTTGTCACGAAATCCGAGACTTACTTCTTGCTACAATAAAAATAAGTTAAATATAGACTTATTTTTACACCTAGTGCACTTGTAGTGCATAGGATAAAGGTTTGGTTTAGAGCAGGTTTTAGATTTAGAGTTTAAGAAAACTATTTTTACACTAGACTCCATAAGGTGATGGAACTATCTCCCCCGATGTAGGTAATGGACAGTGCCTATGGCTGTCTGTGCATTTTACTTGTGTGACGTCTGAAGTCAGTTTGTTTATTCTGTAAGCCATACAACTTATCAGATATAATAAACAATATTGAAACATATTAACATGTTAAACAGAGTAATGATGTACAGGAGAGTCACTATAGTATGTACCATCATATTGTCCACAAACAAACACAAGTGGTTTTATTTAAGTGACTGCGAGCGCTTCTTAAAAGCAAATATTATATATTTAACAATGTTACACAAATTTGTTACATCAGTAACACTGAGCAATTGAACAAGTTTAAATAAACTGGGACTTCGAAAGTAATATGACTTCATGTATCTCACCCGTAAATCTGCATGAAATTGAACATTCAAGTATAAAGTGAAACTTGTCCTCAATATCTTTAGTGTAACATAATGTACAAACTCTATTGGCCCTTGCTACATAATTGTAGACCTGTAAACTTGTAATTGTATCTTCCATTTTAGATACAAATCAAAGTACTGAAAGTACTGAAAGGCCGAACGTATTGAAAAATGTTCACAAATAACTGCTAAGCTATATTACTTTCCCCATACTCCTACATTTTGGAATGCAAAAATTACTAAAACAAGAGAACCAGAGGCTATTCGTCCTAATTTCAAGCGATTTTATATCTTCTTTAATTCTTATTTAAAATTTGACGACACTAATGTGAATAAATCAAAATAGGTAAAAAAATAACAAAATACACACAACCATATATTTATCGCCAACAAGCCAAATTATAAATAGCTCTATGATGAAGTTGACTAAATAAAACCTTTGAAATACCCAAGATGTTGCAATTACTATCCTATCAATAAGAGGATTCAAACAAATCGAAAAGACTTTATACCTACTTCTTTATTTTGAATGTATTGCAAAGTAATAGTCCTTACTTATTATAATTATATTTGTAGTTGAGGAAAGTAGATAAGGTATACACAGCATTTCAGATAGATAAAAGTGTAAGTAATTACATTAAATGTATTTACATTTCTATCTTCCTTGAAGTATCATGGTTAGACTTTTCTTCCGGTAATTATGTCTATAAAGGCATAGTTCTATGAGATTAAACCAGACTTCCATATGTATACAAAATTTACAATATTTTCACTATAACTACTACTATTTCTGATCCCCAATGCATTAGATAATGTCACCATGACACTCTTAATGAATAAATATGTTATGGAAATATTGATAATTGATAATTATAAACATGAATATTTTGGGGTTTCTTTTTAAACGCGCTTTGTTTGAAGGAATATTTTCATTTCAAGGAACTTTGATACACATTAACAAACCATGAGAAATCAGCACAATCAACCTTCATCAGCAAAAAAGGTAAAAAATATAAGTTATAACAAAGTTAACATCATGATCAGTACAATATTGAAATATATCATTCATAAATCATGAGCACCAAATGTACCTTGCCTACAAAGCGCGAACTTTTTATCTTCAAAAACTTGAGAAAGTGTCATGGCGGTGGGTGTGAAAATCCTGAAAAAGTGTCATATCGGCGGGTGTGCACGTAGGACGAACAGTCCAATTTTGTGACGTCTAATGAGGTAAAGTGATGTTATATATTAAGACGATCTTGCCACAACGACAAGGATTAAAGCAAAATTGATGTTCTGTTTGTAAGTTTTGTTTGTTTATAAGTGCTGTTAGTTGATAATTCAAACCAAGCCCTTAGACTAGCTTCTTATCATGGCGCCAACTTGCACATACAGTGCGTCATGTCGAGAATTCCGTAAAATATATTGTTCAGAATTTATCAATAGTTCAACCACACTGTGCTTCTTTTTTTTTTTAATGTATAGTAATCGTATTGTTATTAAAAAAATTAAATAATTTGGATGCTTTTAAAATAGTGATTTGAAAAATCGTGCATTATTTACGCAGAAAATTGCCGCTAGAGGGCTCTAACTCTTTCCGATATTTCAGCCAATGAGAAGGCCAGGACCGGTAAATTTTGTCTGAAAGGCCGTCGCAATAGAAAAACAATAGAACGCAGGTACGTATAACAACAACTCACTTTATTCGTCAATCTTACCTACACTTACCTGGACACGGGTGTCGATACAGGACACACGGCTGACGTCACTCAGGTGTGACGACTGCCTAAGGCCACGACGTTATATGGTTACTAATTAGCATGGCTATTCACCTGAGCGGACC